ACTTTTCTTTAAAATGTGAACAATTAAATGCTTAAGTGAGAATGTGTACTGTTTCATCCTCTGTCTTTATGGACCAAGTTTTCTGAAGCTAATATGAATGTTTGTTTCTATTAAACAGAAGGAAGCTTAGGAAAGAAAACTGATAAACAAAGTGCCCATTACCTAGATTGATACAAACAGGTATCAAAAGGAACTCTGGCATAACTTTTGAATTCAGACTATGCCATACGTCCAACATGAATTCCACTGCATTCAACCTCATTCCCATCCCATCTGCCCTTTCACTGGTCAGCAGAGACATCAGCATCTCCCACTCTGCTGCCCCTCTTGCCTGCTGCCTTTTCTTCTCCAAGCTGAAGAAAGCTGCAGTTCCCTGTCCTTCTCATATTGTGGTGCTCAAAATAGAGCAGAGTGGGACAAATCCCTCCCTTGCCCAGATGCATCCCAGGACAGCTGATCCATCGGCTGCCAGGGTGCTGCTGAATCCTATTTAACTTCCCATTAACTCAAATCCCCAGATATTTTCTGGAGGGCTGGTCTTCAGCCTCCTGTCCCCCAGTTTGTATGTATTATTGTCTCATTTCAGTTGGAGAATCCAGCACTTGCTCTTTATTAAATTTCATACGTCTGGTGGTTATCCTGCTCCATAGTCTAATCAGATCTGTAAGTTCTCTCTGCCTCACTTGAGGGAGTTAGCAGCTCCTCCTAGATTAGCTGCGACAGCAAACTTACTTACTGTGCATTTGATTCATATGTCCACATCACTTAGGAAAACATTATATATTGCATTTTCTGCAAAGCATACTGCCATAAGCATTGAAAAGGGCTATGTAAAAACATAAGCTCATACTTCCTCAGCTGAAGAAAGCAGGAAATTACACACAAAAGATTTCATTATTTAAGAACCTTCTTTGTATCTTGTAGTAAAATCTTAAACTTATCCATACATCCTGATAATACCTTGAAAAAATCTTGTTTTATCATTTCTTAAAATAAAAATGTTTCAAGATGGAAGCTAGAGTGCAAGCCACTTGGAAATGATGAGTAATTGCGGACAAAGAAAAATCACACAAAAATCTCATCAGAGGACACCACTCCAGAGTGTTGGATCAATTCTGCAGAGGTTTAACAGTTAACAGTTTGGAATACCATCATCAGCAGTACCACGGAACAAGACACCTGCAGCAAACAGAAGTCTATTCTGAAACTGTGAAGCAGTCCAACCATGCTGGGTCTTTTGAGACTGAAGTTTTTCAGTTGGCTTACATATTAAAAGGATTGATCCTGGCTCTTACTGGTCAACACAAAAAATAAAAATGCTTTCTGCCTCTTCAGTCACACAGATTTCTTGTGCTTGGACTCATTCATGGTATCACAGGGTGCCTTCTCCATTGCACTGAACTAATATATTCAGACTTGATTGGGAACTACATATTGTACAAGCTGTGCCTCCAGTTACAGTAGTGAAGGAAAAAAGTCACAAAGCCCTAACAAACAGTAACAGATCTGTTGTGATAGTTTTAATGCTTTAAAATTTGTAAAAGTATCTTTAAACATTATTCTTTTTTCAATCTCACAAGATTTTTCTTCACATTCTATTTTCTGTCTTCAGAAATTCAAGTTATAGAAATCTCGCCTGTCTCCCAGTTTATTTTTCATTACACTTAGGGTATCACCTATCTTCAAGGGGTTTTACATCAGCAGATCAGCTCACATTCTTTACTGGCCTATTAATATTTTAATTCAAATAGGGAAAAATTTTCCATACACAGCTACTCAGATACACATTTAACAATTATTCGTCTTCATCTTTTTAATCTTGTTTTTTAAAGTGATAAAATAAGCTTGAAACAAACTTCAGTTCTGTTTATGCACAGGTCAGTTACTGGCCTCTGTGGTGGCATATTCTTTCCCAAATTTTTTAAAGTATGTTAGAACAGCTCCAAGAACAGCTTTCAGCAAGTAGTTGGAAATGGTACTGATGGTGTTGCACCTATCAACAGGGGCTGTACATAACTCACAGCTGCAATTTCCAGCTGTTAAGACCAAGACATACAAAACCATGACTATTTTCTAACTAGTGTCTGCAAATGCAATGAGAACCAATTCAGCTTCTTAAATTAGATACAAGCTAAGTAAGGCCAAGGAAGTTTTCTCTATCAACCACATGGTATTGAACATATCAGAAATCAAAACTGTTCCAAAACTTATTACCAGTTGTATGATTGCTTTACAGATGGTTTTCCTGTAAACAGAGCCTCATAATTTTGGAGGCATGAATGAAAGAAGCCTATATAAAATTTTTGAGAAAATTTGCTTGGAAACATAAACAATCTGTTCCATTTTGTTTTTTCTGCAGGAAAACATCAAGGTTTACCTGCAGCATATACAAGAGCTTAAAGATTGATTGCATTTCCAGTGATTTTAACTTGCTTAAATAGTTCAAGTATCTGTCCATAACAAGGATAACACCTCCAAAGGGTGGCTCAAAGCCTAGAAAGATTCTACAGGATTGAATTCTACGAAGTCAGGAAGAGCCTATACTTCTGAAATATTTCAATTATGCTTCTTTTAACACTGATGATACCCTTTATATATGGAAACAGCATAATTTGCCTTCTATCATTTACTGTTCTTTCACCTGCAGTCTACAACCCAGTTATACTTTACTATGTCTCCAGATTCCTCAACTAAGCAGTTCCAAGAATTAGTGCTGTGTTTCCATTTCACTTTTATCTTTACATAAAATCAGAAGAAGTTAGGTACATCAGGAAGCAAAATAAAGACTTGCATTTATTGTAAATACTATCTATTTCCCAACTGTATGTGGCACATGGGCAGCTGTAGGTGAAAATTACCTTGGGAGGTTGATCTGACCACATCTGATCTGTTACTAGAGCAAGAAAGAAAGTTTCAATATAACAATATATTCTACTTTTATAACAATATATTCTACTTTACTTCAGCTGGTAGAAGAAAATCTACAGAAGACTCCCTCCCCACGCTATCACTGTAGAAATGACCTTAAAGAAAAGTACTCCAATTTTGTTCAAACACCAAGAGGATGAAGAATCAAGAAAAAATATTCCTATTTCTCTGTAGCCCATAACTTTGGTACTTTGAGGATACATAGTCACCCCCACCAATACTGCTGTAGCAAGCTTATGCCTTGAAATATACTCTGCTCTGGAGCAGCAGCATCTTGAGTCTGTGGTGTAGGTGTGAGGGTAGTTATCCAGGTTAATCTTCCCTTATCTCTGAATGCTAAATATAACAGGACTATCAGCAACACCACCCATTGTATGGTATCATTAGCACTTATAAAGGATCTTAACCCTTTGAGAACTGGTGGAGCAGACCCAAAAAGATGGTTAAAAGGTTGAGAGAAAGTTTGCCCAGGTGCTATTTCCTCACAGTAGGTACCGTTATTAAAGTAACCCCAAAAACATACAGTTAACGTGTGATAGCTATGAATCCATGTACCTGCCTTCCAGAGGAAATTAAAGATCCATGAATTCCTCACCCAATTAACCCAGAAGCCAAACTTGATAACAGACACCGTAGCCTTAGTTATAGGACCCATTTTTAGATAAGGGTCTGCAAATGGG